ACATATATAAAACTTGTTATATTAAAATTATACATGTCACTCATATACATATATACACACACACATATATATATAAAACCAGTTAAAAATTATATTAAATTGAGTCTAAATGTGACTGGCATAATACAATCACCTTTTATGTGTTAAGAAAAAATAAATAGCCAAAAAAAAAAAAAAGGAAGAGACAAAGGGCATTATATTGTAACAAAAGGGCTAATTTATCAAGAAAAAAAACCCTGCCAATTAAAATGTGACAGTCTAATTAACTGCAAAATACATTCCAGTATCAGAGATGTTAAATGTCTAAATGAGTATCTCATAATTAATGACATATAGTAACTAAAAACACGTGTATCTATTCTTCCCAGTTGTGTACTCCACTTGGAGGAAAACAGCCTTCCTCGTTTTCACTTCTCTTCATTTCTTAGTCCATTTGAGCTGTGAGAACAAAAACATCAGACTGGGTGGCTTAAGCATTTATTTCTCACAATTCTGAAGGCTGAGGAGTCCAGGCTCAAGGTGCTGGTTAGGTTCAATGTCCCATGAGGGCCTGCTTCCTGGCTCACAGCCAGCCATCTTCTTGCTCCGTCCCCACAAGAGGGAGCTCCCCGAGGCCTCTTTCCTAAGAGCCTAATTCCATTCTTGAGCACTCTGCCCTTATGACCTCCTGACACTATCACATGGAATATCACCATTTCTCTTTTTTAAGAATAATTTTATTTAACTTCATTTATTTATTTTTATTTTAATCAGAAAGGAACAGAGTGAGAGAGAGAGAAAAAGTGAGAAAGCAAGCACCCAGGTTTGGGACTTGAACTGCGGTCAGCCATGTCGGAGTTCAGAGCCCTTAATCCCCACACCACCTGGGGCCCCAGGATATCGCCATTTCAACACAGGAATTTTGCAGGGATACAAACATTCAGTGCATAAGATTGTTTTATTAATATAACTATTGTGCACTTATGCTCACTAGAGACAGACGAAAAGTGAGAAATCACTCCCCAGGTGTAATGGCTATACTGCAATCCCTCCTGGGACTCGAATCGCAAAGCTGGTCGTGTGGAATCCAGCACCTTAACCTTCACACCACCTGCTGACCCACATAATACTTCATTTTACCTGTTTTCATTTCTTTTAAGAATTACTTATTTAATTTTATTCAGAGAGCAAGAGAGAGAGCAAGCCACCAGGTCTGGGACTTGAACTGCAGTTGGCTATGTAGGAATCCAGCATCCTTAGTCACCACGCCACCTGCTGGCCATCATTTCTAAATTTTAATGCAAGGAAAAAAATGTTTTTTACGAAATTATTATTAGGAGAGGCAAGTAGTTGATCCTACCTCCTTTCGGAAAATGAGGTAAGTAGCTGATCACTTCATCCTTTTGCTTAAACTCCAATAAATTTCAGAGATAAATTTAATACTACTGGCCAAACAACATGCATGTAAATCACTATACGGACTTTCCTATATGACTTTTTTTAAAGAGCAATTTAAATATTTGATTTAACTTTATTTATTTTAATTTGAAAAGAGAGGGACAGAGAGAGAGAGAGAGAGAGAAAGCAAGCTGCCAGCTCTGGGACTACACCTGGAGTCAAGAGAGAGAGAGAGAGAGAGAGAGAGAAAGTGAGAAAGCAAGTTGCCAGGGCCGGGACTCGAACCGTGGTCAGCCATGTGGGAGTAGAGAGCCCTTAATCACCATGCCTCCTTTCCCCCATACAACTTTCTTACTTCTGTTTCCTCTCTCCGGTCTGAATTTTTTTTAACTGATTATGGTTTTATTACATATGTACTTGGTTGGAATTGCATCAAGGGTCTGTGGGATTTACCCCATGGGAGGAAACCAAAGTCAGGCAGAGGAGACCAGAGGAAAGTAGGAATAAGAGCTTGATGCGGCTGAGACCACCAGACAACAGAGCACTCTGCAAACCAGGCAGGCAACGGATCTTATTCAGGGTACCACACAGTAGAGGCGTGAGAAGCAACATACTTTAATACTGTTCTGAGAAAACCAGAGTGAAGGGTAGAGAAGAAAGTGGAGAATGGAGGCAAGAGATCCGCTGGAAGGTGCTGTAATGACCCAGCATGAGAGAACAGCTGGAAGGCTGCTCTGGGTGCACAGCGCACACTCTAGAGACCACATCTGGCTCTGCAGGTCTGCAGTAATGCTCTGCTTGAGAAGCCAGATCCCACATGGCAACTGTGACACAAATCCCCACCTGGTTGGCCTGAAACACACCAGGCACATGCGTCAGAGGCCAGGATCCAACAGGCTGGAAGACTGGAGGAAGGGGACAGTTGTATGACCAGACCCTACAGAGGTGGTCAGCTCTGTCTCTGTCTCTCTCTCACACACGTTCATATGCATGTATCTGCATTCTATCATGAATAAAGAAAAGAACAGGACTCTCTTGGGATCTGTGACTGGCGTAATGCTTATGTGGTTGGACTCCCACAGAGTCAACTGTAGTTCAAGTCCCAGACACGGTGACTTGGGTACATGAGAATTCCAAGAGAATGGAGAAGGGACTGCAGCATGGCCATCCCCTCTTGGGAGTGAGTTCTTGCTTTCTGTCTGTCTGTCTGTCTCTCTCTCTCAGGCAAGTGCTCATGCCCTATAGCAAAAAACTCTCTTTGAAAAAAAAAAGGAATAGGACCCCCGGGGAAACTGCAAAGGCCAGGCTCCCTGAGTGAGGCTGCGCTGGGCCAGGCCCAGGCATTGCAAGCCGCCCGGGGTGCCATGGCCACAGGCAACTACCTAGGGGTGGCCCTGAGCGTCCCCGCATGGTCTGCCTGCTGCTGCAGCTCGGTTTCATCAGTTGTGAGTCCTTACTGATATATAGGCCTGTGAATGGTAGTGTCACATTCTCTGCATCAAACTATGTGCCTTCTAAAGAAATCCTTTGGCAAAAGCAAAAGGATAAAGTTGTAGAATGGGAAGAAAACTTTGCATGCAAAGAATTCCCACCTTTTGAAAATAAGGTTCGTTTAGACACTAAGTCAGGTGCCCTTACTATCTCCAATTTGACATCAGAAGATGAGGGTGACTATGAAATCAAATCCCCAGGCATTAAAGATACAGCCAAGTTCTCACTCTATGTGCTCGAGCCTCCTTCATCTCTGACATTAAACAGTACCCCAACTGGTGAAAACATTACAGTGCAGTGTGAGATACCAGGCATCACATCAGCCATTCAGAACTTACAAAGTACTCATGGAATTGCTCTGCAGAGCAATGTAAAGATAACTCAGCAACCCACATGCATTCTAACATGAAAAATGCTTTTTTAGAGATTATACAGTACAGTGTTATGAACCTGTTATTTAGCAAGACATCTTTGATAGATTTGGCAACCTATGTCCCAAGCAGTGCCCATTCAAGGAACTGGTTTATGATTCTACTACCAATTGTATTGTGTGTGGCAGCTGTAATGTGGATGCTGCTGTATGTGGAAGGCTTTCTGAAATGTAGCAGAGATACAGACAGAACCAACCCCAGTTAACTGGTAAGAGAAGATGAAAGAAAGAATATCTAAATTATTTAAATAATTCTAAAAAGCCATCTCTCATTTGAGTATTACATCTCTTTGAAGACACCTTGGAAGTCTTAACCAGAAGCAATACTTCATTAAGAGCTGATTTTTTTTAAAGAAGAAATATGAACTAACACAGAACAAAGCCTTAGTTTCCATTGTCACCAACACCTTGTATAACTTGGGTCTCTAAACTTTTTTTATTGTAGAGTGCACATCAATGTTTATTGCAGTATTACTCATGATTGCCAAGACATGGAACCAACCCAAATGTCCACAAACAGATGAATGGACTGAAAAAGTGTGGCATATATACTCTATGGAATACTACTCAGCCATAAAAAAACAAAAAGACCCTGGCATTTGATAGAAAGTGGTCGGATATGGAGGATCTATTGCTGAGTGAAGTAAGCCAAGATATGAAAGAAAGATATTGTATGTATCCACTTAATATATACCGACGAATTGCACACCATGCTAGAGAGCGAAATATTAGAGGACATAAAAGCAATGAAAATAGTTAACGAGGATATGACAGTGTGAAATGGGAGGGGAGAAGAAAAGAGTATAGAGAAAGATACCAAGAGAACAAATAGAGAGGCATGATATCAGTAGGACACAGATATCGTTTATTACTTATTGATGATGACGTGTATAGTATTCTTAACTGGATTGGTCTGAGAAAATTTCATGTTGGATAAAGTCTTTTTCCAAGCAAAATAAGTAGTGATTGGGGAACCAGCATTTAGCGTAATGGCTATGTTGCTGGACTCCCACGTAGTTGACTGCGGTTCGCGTCCCGAACCCGGTGGTTTAAAACTCACACCGGGAGCGTGTGCGTGCGTGCCCAAGATCCTGAGAGGAGAATGGAAGAGAAGGGATTGTGGTGTGACCATCCCCCCTGGGGGATGATTTCTCGCTTTCTGTCTCTATGTCTCTCTCTGTCTGTCTGGAGAGCGCATGCACCCTATAGCGAAAAACCTCTCAAAAAAAAAAAAAAAGTAGTGATTGACCGTTTAAAAAAAATAATTGTAGTAATAATAATGATCGGGAAAAATAATGAAAAGCTATTGGATGATGAAATGGGGATTTTAATGTCTCTGTATTGACTGATAAGCAATTCCTTCTGGAAAAAGAAATGTAATACACTGTAAAATTATATGTGATTCAATGTAATATAAACAAGATTATGATGATAATAAAAAAAAAGAATAGGACCCTCCCCCAAGTTTAGAGATTTTGCTGACACAGATAAACTTGCCTCTCCAAACAATCAGTTATAAAATAAGAGGTTTTCCAACTTCATTTGACTTCCAAGTCCTTCGAATCTGTTTGGTCTTTTCTTTTTTTAATAATTATTCAATTTTATTTATCTTTCTTTTTTTCATATAAGGCATGTGAGCTCACCAGAAAGAGACAGAGAAAGACAGTGAGTGAGACAGAGAGAGAGAGATAGAAAGTGGACCAGGGACCTGAACTGCGGTCAGCCATGTAGGAGCCTTAACTACCTTGCCACCTGCTGGCTCCTCTGTTCGGTCTTTTAAGTTTACAATGAGATGGGTGCTGCCTCAGGAATAAAGGAATTGTTTTCTTCTTATAAACTTTAAATATGAACATTTATACTTTATAAGTACTAAACTATACATGAGGTATGGTTCACTCTGAAGATTTATATTTTACACAAGTACATACTCTGACTAGTTTCTGAACCAGTGAGTAAGATAAATATTTTTATATTTTAACAACAAGAGTTAGGAACTCCAATGGTATGTTAAGAGATATGTATGTTCCACTTTATTTATTAAACAATAAAAAACTAGAAATAACTTATATGTCCAATAACAGAAAATTGGCTTAAAAATCTTAGAACTATTATTTTAAGCCATAAAACAGAACCATGAGCAATCATTAAAAACGTCATGAATGTATTCAACGACATGAGAGATCTAACTCTATTTTATAGTCTATAATCCCAATGTCTTCTCACTTCTCTCCTCACACCTCCTCCACCTCGTGGCCTACCTTACTGAGCCTAACCTTGCTTTGTATTTTAGTGAGAAAACTCAACCACAGAAGAGATTCTGGTACCAGCACAAAATTTACCCACCAGCCAGCATCTCTGCCACACATGTTCCTCTCCTGTTCCAAGGGCTGGGACATTTCCGTGAAGACCAACCCCTTCCCTTGTACACTAGATTCCGCCCCTCTCCGCCATCCAGTAAGGAAGTTGCACGTCATCACAATGACAAAAGAGGGTGCTTTAAATGAGGGATCTTGTAAACTATCCCAAATCACCAGTCTTGAACAATCTTGAACAGGCATAGGCAGAAGTATTCTTCATCTGTACAAAACTATAGAACAAAACAAAACAAAACAATCAGCTCATGAAGATTACCAACTAAGCTGCTTCTACTCCTGCTCAGCAATTAAAAAAAAAAAGCAACAGAGACAAACAAAACTGTAACACAAACATCCAAACTGAATTAAATTGCTCCTCTGGGCCTGCTCAGTGGTTAAGATGGCTGAGTCCCATGCGACTGTATGGATGGAGTGAGTTCCAGACACGCGGTTTGAGAAACATGCTGGGTGCATGTGCATGCATACTCTAAATCCTGAAAGGAGGAAGATGGAGGAGAAGGGATTGTGGTGTGTGATCATACCCCAATAGGGGGTACTTTCTCACTTTCCCTCTCTGTTTCTCTCCAGCGAATGCACATGCACTCTAGCACAATTAAAAAATAACAGCAACAACAAAACTAAGACTAACTCTGAACAAAAATTTCCAAGTAATGAAACAAGAACTGACTACCTCAGAAATGATCCAAGAAAAAGAAAAACCAAAATCATATAAAAAAAGATGGTCAGATGCAGTGGAGGAGCAATGACATGGCACTCTGTGATACTGGGCCACATGGAAAGGTCCTGGGTTTGCATCCTGGGGTCTCCCTATACGTGTCAGGTATGTAAGCATGCACATACCCCAGGATCTTGTCTGGCTAGGGTTAGGGCTGGATTAGAACCCTCCACTGAGGATCCCTCTCTCTTCCTCCTCCTTTCCCCGTTCTCTCTCATGAAAGAAGTGAATGGACTTAGGAAGAGATGGAGCAGGTGTGTACAACAGTAGAACCTCCCTGAGCACAGCAGGTACCTGCATGCAACCATGATCCAAGCAGGCTGAGACTAGGAATGGACTGTGGTGTGATGACCCTGCTGGGGATGCCTGTCTCTCTGTCTTATCTCTGTATCTCTTTCATGGAATAAATAAACTTAAAAAAAGAAAATTATTCAGAAAAGCAAAGTGAAGGGCAAATGAATATTAAAGGCAAATGGAATTTCAACTGGCAACATAGAATCTAAAACGACATCAATGATCTTTTTTTGTTGTTACATTAATATCCATTGTCTATAGTATGGGAAGATCCATTAAAACAAAAAAGGATCTACCAGAAAATGACAATATGCACTGTATTAGGGGGATGGGAGACATTAATAGTGATTTCTTAAAACCTAGGATGGGTACCAACAGTTGGCATAATGGCTATGTCGCTGAACTCCAATGTAGTCAACTGCGGTTCGAGTCCCAGACCTGGTGGCTTAAACTCACGCTGGGCACGTATGCATGCGTGCCCAAGATCCCGAGAGAAGAATGGAGGAGAAGGGATTGCGGTGTGGCCATCCCTCCCTGGGGGATGATTTCTCGCTTTCTGTCTCTCTCTGTCTTTCTGGTGAGCGTACGCGCCCTATAGCCAAACAAACAAACAAACATACAAAAACCTGGGATGAAAATGCATTATCATTGCTTTTATTTCAAATCGTAAGTGAACTAGAAGCTTTAATTATAATAATCAAATGTCTATCAAGAGCTAGATGGATAAACAAACAAGTATATTCATACAAAGGAATACAAGTCAGCCATAGAAAGAAATGTGCTACTGATACATGTGAAAACATGAGGCTCAAAAACACTGAGTGAAAAACACAAAACTCTAGAATATATGTGACAAAATTCTACCCTAAAATTCCAAAACTAGTTAAAAACTCACTGATGCTTTCTAAAATAGTAACAGTGGAGGCCTGAGAGAGGGAGAAAATGGATCACAGACTATCATACAAGGATATGCAGGAGTGATGGAAATATTCTCCCACCAAGTATAGTGGTAGTTACATTGTTGTATATATGTGTCAACCCCCCAGAAAAAAACAAAGAAATTGGGCAAGAAGCAAAAAACAAAAACAAAAACAAAAAACAAACCAGGAAAAGGAAAAGTTAAAATTACTGGGACCGGCAGGTGTGGTGGTTAAAGGTGCTGGATTCCCACATGGCCAACTATGTTTCAAGTTCCGGAACTGGTGGCTTACTTTCTCACTTTCCTTCTCTCTCTCTCTCTCTGGTCAAATTGGGAAATAATAATAAATAAAGTTAAAGTAATTCTTGGGACCAGCAGATAGTGTAATGGTTATATTGCTGAACTCCTACATGGTTGACTGAGGTTCAAGCCTCAGACCTGGCAGCTTGAAACTCATACCAGGCAAGTGTGTGTGCATGCCAAAAATCTTGAGACAAGAATGGAGGAGGGACTGTGGCATGGCCCTCCCTCTAGGAGATGATTTTTCACTTTCTGTCTCTTTGGCAAGCACATGCATCTTATAGCAAACAATCTCTCTTTAAAAAAAAAAAAGTGGGACCAGCAGGTGGTGTGGTAGTTAAAGCGCTGGGTAATCCCACATGACCGGCCACAGTTTGAGTCCTGGACCTGGTGGATTGCTTTCTCACTTTCCCTCACTCTCTCTATGTGTCACTTTCTGGCCAAAATAAATGAATGAGTAAATAAAATAAAATAAATATGTTTTAAAAAAGTCTAAATTACTTTATGGCCTCATGATAGGGAAGAATTATGTAATTAAAACATGAAACTAATCATAAACAAAAATATCACCAAAATAAGTAATTCTGCTCTTTGAGACACCTCAATAAAAGTGAAAAGGCAGCCCACAAAATGTGAGAAGACCTGTCACACATCCCTCGCGAAGGATTATGTCATGAATATATAAAAATACATAAAAGTCACATATACTGAAACATGGGCAAGATATTTAGAGGCACTGTACCAAAGATGAAATTCAAGAAGCTTAAGAAAAAATGATGTACTTTAAGCAAATGAAGCTATGCAACACCAGTTTTATGCCCACTAAATTGGCTTTAAAATTTTTTAAATACTTGGACTGGCAGGTGGCATGGCTGTTAGGACACTGAGCTCCCACATGGCTGACTATGGTTTGCGTCCTGGATCTAGTGGCTTGCTTTCTCACTTTCCTTCTCTTTTTCTCTCTCTGTCTCTCTCTGGCCAAGATGAAAAATAATAATAATAAATATTTTAACTTGACCAGAGAGAGACATACAGAGACAGAGAGAGGGGACCAGCAGTTCGCGTAATGGCTATGTCGCTGGACTCCCACATAGTCGACCGCGGTTCAAGTCCTGGACCCGGTGGCTTAAACTCACGCTGGGCGCATGTGCGTACATGCCCAGGATCCCAAGAGGAGAATGGAGGAGAAGGGATTGCTGCGTGGCCATCCCCCCTGGAGGGTGATTTCTCACTTTCTATCTCTCTGTCTCTCTCTTTCTGGCGAGCGCATGCACCCTATAGCGAAAACCTCTCAAAAAAAACCCCCAAAAACAAAAAAACAGAGACAGAGAGAGAGAGCGCAAGAGAGATGGAAAATGATAAAGCAAACCGCCAGGTCTGGTACTTGATCTGTGGTCAGCCATGTCCAGTGCCTTAACCACTATACCACCTGCTGGTACCAAAATAAATAATTCTTTGAAAATTATTTAAATACTAATAAAACAAAGTATTGGCAAGTATGGAACAAGAAGAACTCTTTGAAAGTTTGTAGGAACATAAACTGTTATAATTACTTGAGATAAAATTGATATTTTAAATTTTAAGATAATACTGTTTTACGCCTTGGTATATACCCTGGATAACTTATGTACATTTATACCAAGAGACATGTATACAAATATTGTTAATAGTTTGTATTTTAAAAATTAAAAATAAGTGTACATCAATACTAGGATGGCTTAATGAATTATATTCATAGAATGAAATTCTATATAGAAGAAAAAACAAATGACAACTGTATCTACATGCATGGACTCTCAGAAGTATAATGTTGAGTGAAAATAGCACCAGTTAATCCACAGAATAAGGCCCTGTTAAAATAAACTCCTAACATGAACAAAACTAAATATGCCATTTACTGAATTATACATACTTGGTATATCTACAAAGAAGCACAAGAGGACAGTGAAAATATAAGTGATACACAAACCCAACAGGAAACAGGCAGGTGGAAATCCACATCTCTGTGTTTCAACTATTTTATAATATTCTGAGTAGAGGAGGAAGGAGAAAAATACTCATATACTAAAGTTGCCATGGCAATTTCTAGAGATGTTTCAGATTTAAAAAAAAAAAAGAAATACAGTAAATTCTAATTTTACCTGTTTATGTCTACATTATTTACATGACTTCTTTTCAGTATCCAAAACCTAAGAAGAAAAAAAAAACACGTAATCATTTTTATGTACTAATGTCTAATTCGAGCACATTGTCATACTCTTGTAATTTAATAATGATTCAAGAACATCAATTGTAATAATTTTCTAATAATACGGATTACTACATGGAACTGAAAAATGAGTTTTTTATGTATACCAATTTTCCCATATATACCTCATACAAACAAACAACCAAATATTTGGTATAACTTCTAATCCCACAATAACCTTTCATAAAAAAAAAATAAATAAAGGGAACCAGCAGTTAGCGTAATGGCTATGTCGCTGGACTCCCACGTAGTCGACCGCGGTTCACGTCCCGGACCCGGTGGCTTAAAACTCACGCCGGGCGCGTGTGCGTGCGTGCCCAAGATCCCGAGAGGAGAATGGAGGAGAAGGGATTGCGGCGTGACCATCCCCCCTGGGGGGTGATTTCTCGCTTTCTGTCTCTATGTCTCTCTCTGTCTGTCTGGCGAGCGCACGCGCCCTACAGTGAAAATCTCTCAAAAAAAAAAAAAAGAATCTTAAAGGACCAGTGTGGCATGGTGGTTAAGGTGCTGGACTCCTATATGGCCTACTGTGGTTCACGTCCTGGACCTGGCAGCTTGCTTTCTCACCCTCTCTCTCTCTCTGGTGAACACGTGTGCCCTATAAAAAAGTTTAAAACAATAAAAAAATAAAATAAGTAATTAAAAAAAAGAATCTCCAGTTGGAGCCAGTAAGTGGCAATGGTGGTTAAGGCACTGGATTCCCACATGGCCAACTGAGGTTTGAGTCCCGGACTTGGTAACTTACTTTCTCACTCTGTCCTTGTCTGGCCAAATCAAAAAAATAATAACAAATAGAATTAAATAAATAATTCTTTTTTAAAAAAGATTCTTTCATGTCTACTCATATTTCAATTTAATTTTGAAGAGACTAGCTCCAACTTATATACGAGAAATTAAAGAATATAAATGACTATATATTTTTAATAATTTTCCACACAGATCACAAGAATACTGTTTAAATACATGTTGAAATTCCTACTGTTTGCTGATGTGACACTAAAATATTTTATCATCCATGACTCTTTACTTTGTTTCTAAAAGCCTTTATAGTTACAGAGTACCATTCCTCTCCGCCTTGCTTTCTTTTCCTCAGCTTAACTATAAAAGTTGCTGAGTATAATGAGGGGTTTAAGAACATTCCAATTTATACCAGCCTAAGTATAAACCTTCCTTTTTGCTACAATAAAAAATACATAAATGGAAAATAATTTTCTAGGCTGAAGTGAATTCTTAGATTATCTGTCCTAGTATATCCCATATGCTACCCTATGAGGCACCTTCCTTAAAGAACGCTACCTGTTCAAATTCTCAGTCTTAACAAATATATTAGTTCTAACATAATCTCTACAAAAGAAGAAAAGGGGGTTGACATGGCACAGCAGCAGAATACGAAGCTCTCTAAGGCTGAGCTACAAGGGAAGCTTCTGATTTCTTGTCAGGAGACCTCCCCAAATATACCAGGCACTCAGGTGTCCATGATCCACAGCTGGCAGAGCTGGGGAGGGATCACAATGGCAAGACCTTGTTGGGACTGCTCTTTCTCTCTCGTGGAAATAGTAAATCACTTGAGAAAATATTTTTTAAAAAATAAAGAAAAGAAAAAAGGCTACTGAATTTGTACTTACTTTAGCCAACAGTTCTTGTGTTTCAGCAGTTAGTGGAGCATGTGAAAACTTGCAATATTCTCCCTGATAACATTTCGTTCCTGTATGGTAAAACTTGCAAGGATATTCATGTAACTCAAATGTTAAGGAAGAGAACAATTTTAGTCGAACCCAAATAATCTGTTATTAGTTTAATAACTGCTTTTTCATATGAAGATCTTTCCACTAGTAGAAACACTGGATTTTCTATTTAAAATTTCAGATAATAAATTAGTGAATTACATGAAAAATTTAATTTGAGAAGGATTACATAAATAAAGCTTATTGACAACCACAGGACTACTTTTTTCTTCATATCTGTCTTTATAATAGACTACAAATATATTTGATTGATGTGTTAAAGGGATACATAAATCTCTCAAAAAAAAAAAAAGAATCTTAAAGGACCAGTGTGGCATGGTGGTTAAGGTGCTGGACTCCTATATGGCCTACTGTGGTTCACGTCCTGGACCTGGCAGCTTGCTTTCTCACCCTCTCTCTCTCTCTGGTGAACACGTGTGCCCTATAAAAAAGTTTAAAACAATAAAATTAAATAAGTAATTAAAAAAAAGAATCTTCAGTTGGAGCCAGTAAGTGGCAATGGTGGTTAAGGCACTGGATTCCCACATGGCCAACTGAGGTTTGAGTCCCGGACTTGGTAACTTACTTTCTCACTCTGTCCTTGTCTGGCCAAATCAAAAAAATAATAACAAATAGAATTAAATAAATAATTCTTTTTTAAAAAAGATTCTTTCATGTCTACTCATATTTCAATTTAATTTTGAAGAGACTAGCTCCAACTTATATACGAGAAATTAAAGAATATAAATGACTATATATTTTTAATAATTTTCCACACAGATCACAAGAATACTGTTTAAATACATGTTGAAATTCCTACTGTTTGCTGATGTGACACTAAAATATTTTATCATCCATGACTCTTTACTTTGTTTCTAAAAGCCTTTATAGTTACAGAGTACCATTCCTCTCCGCCTTGCTTTCTTTTCCTCAGCTTAACTATAAAAGTTGCTGAGTATAATGAGGGGTTTAAGAACATTCCAATTTATACCAGCCTAAGTATAAACCTTCCTTTTTGCTACAATAAAAAATACATAAATGGAAAATAATTTTCTAGGCTGAAGTGAATTCTTAGATTATCTGTCCTAGTATATCCCATATGCTACCCTATGAGGCACCTTCCTTAAAGAACGCTACCTGTTCAAATTCTCAGTCTTAACAAATATATTAGTTCTAACATAATCTCTACAAAAGAAGAAAAGGGGGTTGACATGGCACAGCAGCAGAATACGAAGCTCTCTAAGGCTGAGCTACAAGGGAAGCTTCTGATTTCTTGTCAGGAGACCTCCCCAAATATACCAGGCACTCAGGTGTCCATGATCCACAGCTGGCAGAGCTGGGGAGGGATCACAATGGCAAGACCTTGTTGGGACTGCTCTTTCTCTCTCGTGGAAATAGTAAATCACTTGAGAAAATATTTTTTAAAAAATAAAGAAAAGAAAAAAGGCTACTGAATTTGTACTTACTTTAGCCAACAGTTCTTGTGTTTCAGCAGTTAGTGGAGCATGTGAAAACTTGCAATATTCTCCCTGATAACATTTCGTTCCTGTATGGTAAAACTTGCAAGGATATTCATGTAACTCAAATGTTAAGGAAGAGAACAATTTTAGTCGAACCCAAATAATCTGTTATTAGTTTAATAACTGCTTTTTCATATGAAGATCTTTCCACTAGTAGAAACACTGGATTTTCTATTTAAAATTTCAGATAATAAATTAGTGAATTACATGAAAAATTTAATTTGAGAAGGATTACATAAATAAAGCTTATTGACAACCACAGGACTACTTTTTTCTTCATATCTGTCTTTATAATAGACTACAAATATATTTGATTGATGTGTTAAAGGGATACATATTTTAAATATCTAGAGAAATTATTATTTTTAAAGTATCTTTGAAGGCTAGTGAAATCAAAATCAATGATAATGATGTATCTTACAAATAAGGATCCTGCATACATTAGGTTTGTTTAAGACAGAATAAAAGTATACAACTTCAATATTGTTTCCTTTGAGGCTACTGAAGAAAAAAATCTTTTGTGTGGTCAACAGTGTCACTGCCCTAACATGTTCATGTTCCACATTTTTACAACATGTACCATTTGAATTAAAGAGCCAATGTTATTCTTCGAATTAAAGGAAAATTAATCTCTAGACAGCATAGAATATAAAGAAAAACAAGGTTTTACAAAAAAGCAATCCTTGAATTTTATGAAGCAGCTTCTATGAATACATTGGGCCATCGGGAAAGTCATGACACATCTTTGCATAGAAAAACACAGACAAATACATCATGACTTTACGGAAGACCTACCAGGCTCAATTAGTCAATGTCACAGCAGAAATTCTGACCAAGCCTTTCTGGGAGTTGAATAGGTCCCATGAACACAGTAAACCACCCAGGTTGAACAGAAAGTCTCTCCATTTGAGAGATTTCTATAGGATTCATTTTCTTTTTTACCATAAAAACAAACAAACAAAACCTATGGTCAATTTAATCACTTTGATACTAAGCTAGGTTTAGATAGTATGATTTTATTACAGCTAAAATACTGGTTTCATTAAAATAAAATTTTTAAGTATTTTAAATGTTCATATAAATATCTGCGAAGAGTCAAGTAACCACATTTTGTGACAAAGGATATTATGCAAATATAAACAATTTTCACCTCTGGTACAATACCCCTGTACATAAAATTTACACATTTCCTTCTTCTTCTCTATCTCTGTATCATGATCAAATTTACACTGGTCTCCCTGGGCCAAAAAAATGAACAAGGAAAAGTCATTATTTCTTATGGTTAGGTTATTCAATTTAATTCCTATTAAACTTTAGATAAGCAAATGATTCCACAAGAATGGTCTAATTCTTTTTTTTTGAGAAGTTTTTGCTATAGGGTGTGTGAGCTCAGTGGAGAGACAGAGAGAGAAAGTAAGAAATCATTTCCCAGGGGGTATGGGCACACCATAATTCCTTCTCCTCCATTCTCCTCTTGGGATTTTGGGCATGCCACACACGCGCCTGGCATTAGCTTCATGTCACTGGGTTTGGGACTTGAACTGTGGTTAGGACTTGAACTGTGGACTTAAACCACATGGGAGTCCAACACCTTAACTACTACACCACCTGCTGGCTCAGTACAGTCTAATTCTTAGTAAGGTATTCTATAACCACATCATATATATCTGCTTAAAATTCTAAGTTTTGGGACCAGCAGTTGGTGTAATGGCTATGTCGCTGGACTCCCATGTAGTAAACTGTGGTTCAAGTCCCGGACCCAGTGGTTTAGGTTCACGCCGGATGCATGTGCATGCGTGCCCAGGATCCCAAGAGAAGAATGGAGAAGAGACTGTGGTGTGGCTAGCCCCCCTGGGGGTGATTTCTTGCTTTTTGTCTCTCTTTCTGGCAGTGCACGTGCCCTATAGCAAAAATCTCTCCAAAAATAAAATTAAAAAGAATCCTAAGTCTTAAACATTTTTAATAACTGCTTTCTTATAATTTTAACACAATGCATTTTTAAAATACTACTTTTTTACTTCTTTTTCTAGAGTTTTTTGCCTCAGGACATGTGCGCTTGCCAAAGAGAGAAAGACAGAGACAGAGAAGGGAAAGTAAGAAATCACCCCCAGGGGAATGTCCACAGCACAATCCCTGCTCCTCCCAGGAATTTGGGCATGCATGCACACATGTCTGGTGTGATTTTCCAGCCACCAGGTCCAGGATTTAAACCCCAGTTGGCCATGTAGGAGTCCAGTGATGTAACTGCTACACCATCTGCTGGTCCCCCAAATACTACTTTTTTAAACACAAAAGAATATTTCATTAAAATTTTGTCATTTATCTTTTTCTAAAAAGCAAGTTTTAGAAATCTACAGGTATGAAGAGTGTTAACTGGAAAAAGCAGTTTTAGTACATTTTTGCTTTGTTACATTTTACTACAATTTTGCTTAAAGATTTTACCTTAATACATTTCCTTTCAAGAAAATATTTACAAACTTGTTTCCCCTTGCGTTCCACTGTATGTTGGTTGATGAATCCCTGACTCATTCTCACAGGCTGCTGCTTCTCTTTAGGTTTACCATCCTTTAAAAATCAAATAAACAAAATGTAAGAAATAGAACATTAAATATTTTATTCTGCTACACAGTATCATTTTAAACCATTGAAAAGTGACTCTTCTAAATTAGCCTTCTTTGTACAAAGCTAAACTAAAATACGAAAAGGGTAGTGGAAAAGGAGATTTAGTAAGGCCAATGATCAGAAATATGCATTTTTAATGTTCATAGGGAGCCAGGAACCAACAAACAAGGGACTATAATAGTAAAAACTCTGTAAGACTCATGGCCTTTAAAATGTCTTCACAGCTGTTTTATCTTCTCTCTGCTTACTGTGTTTCCATAGTCACTGAGGGTGTATCGAGAAAACAAGAGACCTGTGTGCATGTATTCTGGGACAAAAGTGAGAACACGAAGGCTTCAAATGTGTGCAGGCAGCAAATGACTAAGAGGGAGAGCAGCTGCAAAGTAAGACCACGAAGAGCCCGCTGATGGCAAGACATCTCCACCACCGGTAACTCTGACTTTATAAGATGCTCCCACCTCTCATTAGCACATGGCACTTCTTGTCACTGGGGTATAAGATAAAAATGCAAAACCACATAGGTGTCCTCCCACAACACAGGGTCTGGTACCTCTTCCTGTGAGCCACTGTTCCTCAGTGAAGCATTTGACCCTTTGTTTCCAGTGCCAGGCCATTTTCGCTTCATTTTTTTCTGTTTACCATTCTTGTGACCAGCTTTAAGATTTTTATTTTTTTGTTTGGCAGCTAAAGACAAGAAAATTAATTTTTAGAATGATATAAAAGCACGATCATAGTTCATTTTTTTTTTAAATGTTTTTAAGAATTATTTTATTTAGGGACCAGCAGTTGGCTTAATGGCTATGTCGCTGGATTCCCATGTAGTTGACCATGGTTCGAGTCTTGGACCCAGTAGCTTAAACTTATAATGGGCCCCAAGATCCCGAGAGGAGAATAGAAGAGAGAATGGAGGAGAAGGGACTGCAGTGTGGCCATCAACCCTGGGGGGTGATTTCTCACTTTCTGTCTCATGCACACACCCTATAGCAAAAACCTTTCCAAAAAAAAAAAATTCTCATGCACCTATAGCAAAAACCTTTCCAAAAAAAAAAGAAATTATTTTATTTAACTTACGTTTCTTTCTTTCTTTTCTTTCTTTTTTTTTTTTTCTTTTTTAAATTTTGACCAGAGAGGGAGCGAGAGAGAGAGAGAAAAAAAAAAGGAAAGTGAAAATGCAAACCGCCAGGCATGGGACTTGAACCGTGGTCAGCCAAATGGGAGTCCAGTTCCCTTAACTACCACGTCGCCTGCAAGACCCAGTAGTAGTTTACTATTAAAATGTGTATCTTAAGTAATACAGGCATTTTCTACAATAAAGTTCAGTGTGTAAAAATTGGTCCCTTATACTGATTAATATTTACTATCTATAGTTCAATTTTAAATAGTCAAAAAGAGAACAATAAAACAGTAAAATGAAAGTATTAAGAATTTTATTTGGGGGACCAGCAGTTAGGATAATAGCTATGTCGCTGGACTCCCATGTAGTCAACTGCAGTTCAAGCCTTGGACCTGGTGGATTAAACTCACACCGGCACGTGTGCATGCATGCCCAAGATCCTGAGAGGAGAATGGAGAAGGGATTGCAGCATGCCCATCCCCCCGGGGGGTGATTTCTCGCTTTCTGTCTCTCTGTCTCTGTCTTTCTGGAGCGCGCACGCATCCTATAGCAAAATCCTCTCAAAAAAAAAGAATTTTATTTGGGACCAGCAATTGGCATAATGGCTCTGTCTCTGGACTTCTATGTATTTGACCGCAGTTCAACTTAACTTAAACTAATGCCAGGCATGTGTGCGTGCGTGCCCAAGATCCTGAGAGGAGAATGGAGGAGAAGGAATTGCGGCATACCCATCCCCCTGGGGGTGATTCCTTATTTTCTGTCTCTCTCCCATCCACCTGGGGGTGATTCCTTATTTTCTGTCTCTCTTTGTCCTTCTGGTGAGAGCATGCGCCCTATAGCCAAAACCTCTCCGAAAAAAATAATTTTACC